ACTCATAGCGACCCCATGCACAGCAGAACGAAACACTGCCCGATCCCACGCCAGCCCCACAATCCCTGCTATACTTGAGCCCATCAACGCAACCACCGTGTCAATCCAAATTCCAGACATACCCACAGACAACTTCCATCTACCTAGTTCCCAGAACTGAAAACTACCTGGTGATGGCCTTTCACGTAAACTCAATTTATGGGTTATTTTCCAAGGTGAGTGCTACCACAGCATTTTTAAAAATCTGTGTTATTTTCTGAACATTTAAATTCACATCCTGGCTACAAGGTCTTGACAAAATTCCCTCATGTTAACAAAGAGTTGGTAGTGAGAACTACTTAAGTATAGCCATGTGTTATGCTTACTAATTTTCTTCTCTTGAGGCTATGAATTCCATCCTGGTTGGTGCTCTGATCCTGGGAGGGACTGTTCAGAAAAGTAACGGAACAGTTACTACCAGCGGGAACTTGTTCAGAAGTGATGTACTTGGGGAGGACGGACTCCTAGCCTCAACAATTATCCAGTGCAGGCAGCCCTCTTGCCAGATTTTGTTCTCATCAGTTGGAAGAAACCTCAATGATGTTAACTTTGGTCTAACCATTTGGATCTAATGAACCCCTCTCTGGCTGTGGTAGAAGACAACTGTTAATGTTCCTTTATAGAAACGCTGCTGCCACAGAAGCCAGGAGTTAGTCCAGAAATGACTTTGTTACAAAGACATACTTAGCTCCTGATGCAGTGTTGTTACGTCATCATTTTGCCCTCAGCCATCCTGACTCATCGTTTTACTGGCGTTCACATGGAATTGACATAAATTCAAGACAAAAAATCTCTTCGTATCACTTCAGGAGTACTGACTCACTTGTTTTTGTGAAGTGTTAATATCCTCTTATATCCAAAATTACTAATGCATGTAACATTCATTTTTGAATTACCATAGTGTATCTAACAGGAGAAATGCTGAGAGGAGCTTTAGCATTGTAGTAGAGTCACACTTGGAGGCCAAGGGTTTGAATCTTAGCACTGTCATTAACTGTTGCATAGCCTTGGACAAATTGCTTGATTTCTCTGTGCCTCAGTTTTCTCATCAGTTAACTGGGAATAACAGCAGTTCATTGGACTTCAGTGGGAATTAAATGAATTCACTCGCATAAAGTCCTAAGAATGGTGCCAAGCACACAGGATATTCTCAGTAAAGTTGGCCATTATTATTAGATGTTATTTAAAATTAATGAACAGTAAAAATAATATTCACATTATAAACTTTGAATCTAAATATTGAATATAGTATTAGGAAATAAGAAAGTATATTTTCTCAAGAGCTAAGCAAGCACTAACATATCCCAGAGAACCAGGCAAGGTTTGAGGCTCAATTGGAGGCCCAAGATTCTGGGCTCTAGTCGTGACTGCACCAAACAGCTGTGTGACTCCGGGCACCCTTTCTTCATGTGTGCCTCGACGAGACGCACCTGCACGTTCACTGAATTACTGCCAGGCTGCTGTCCTTGGTGTGTGCCACCAATTTCCAACTCACAGTGACCCTGTATCACAGCAGAACTGCCCCACAGGGTTTCCCAGGCTGCAATCTTTATGGAAGTAGATCACCAGATTTTGTCTCTACAAAGACATTGATGGGTTCTACCTGCCTGCCTTTCGGTTATGCTTAACCATTGCATCACCAGTACTCTTTCACCTCCAGCCTCTAACAAACTGGAATTCTTTTTTTTTTAATTCTCCTAGAACATAATGGAATCTGAACAAAATATAAATATCAAATAGTTTTCATGATGTTACCAAAATGAAAAGTTACATGGACAGATCCTAAAGTCCAGAGTAGGAGACTAAATGACTCTATGCCTTTAACATATTTCCTGTGTGAACTCTTTAATGACAGTTCCCTAAGCAAGGCAGGATGAAGCCTGAGAGCTCTCCCAGACGTACAGCACCAAGGAGTCAGGACAAAGCCCAGCGTCCTGGGCAGGCCACAGGCAGGGTTCTGCTGATGACTCATGTCTGATCCCGATTTTCCTCTATCAGCAAGGTGACATCCCACAAATACCCTCCAGGAAAACTGGCACCACACCATTTCAAATACAATTAAAATAATGACTTGATTTTTAAGATAACTGGATTTCTGAAAAACTTGTATGATCTGAGATGGGTGAAATGAAAACTCACATAAAATACAGAATGATGGTGCACACACAGATTTGTTTTAAAGCGCAATATACAAGAGCACATAAAATGTCTCACAAAGTATTTAATAAAAAAAAAATTGTTTTAAATACAATTTTAGGCTCTAAATAAAGTCTCTACATGGAATAAACACACACTTTTAGCCATAAAAGTGCAGGCTTAAAGGCAGATTTCAGACTCCTTAATCTACATGATGGCTAATGGCCAGCTTAAGAACATTAAAAACGAGCATTTATAAAACTGAGGAAATTCACTAACATGTTTTTTAAACATTATAAACAAACAGCTACCACACAGGATGGGGAAATGGTTTCATGATCTAATTACAAATGCTTTGGTTCCATATTTTATAATATTGGTATCTTATGAAGTTACTGTTACTATAGAACATTTATTGTACATTCTGATTTAAACTCTTTTATGTGCCACCTTCATGCACATCAAGCAGCTATTTATATTTCAGTCACACAAACACACACGCACACACACCCCTTTTTCTCTTGCAGAGTCCCCTTCCTAAGACGACACTGGTCTGCAGAACAATCAGAGCACCGCAAAGTGCTGCTGTAACTGTTTAATCAAATGCTGAGTGTCCACATGATCTGGAAACGCTGCTTTCGACTTCTGAGCAGCAACATAGCTTCTCTGGAGATCTCCAATCTGTACGGATCACCAGGATGAGGCCAGGGAAGATGAGGAAAGGAGGGAGAGAAGACATGTTATCTGCATACCGTAAAAGCACAGTGTTCTTAAAAGTCAAAGTGCTGGATTATGCTACTCTCACTTTAAAATTCTCTCACGTGAATTACCATTCAATCGCAAAAAATATCTGAGAAGAATAAAATAACCAATTATATAAATAATTTATGTTCCACCAAAGCTGTCTAGTTACGAATTCATAAACCTGGGTTTTCTTTTTCTATCACTGGTAGTGTAAGAAACATAAAACAACATTTGCATGCTGAAACAGCTTGGCAAAGCTATTTGTAATGTACCAAAAAGACATTTATTTTGATGGGGTTATTATCTTTTAGACATATATTTCAATCAAAAACTATTTTATTTATGTTACAGTTAAATGATCTGGGAGGTTTTAAATGATATAAGCCCAATAATGTTGGAAAGATAACTGTTCAAAAAAAATTTATAAAGGGTGACTCTGATTTTCAATGAACTTTGTGTTAGAGGCTGGTCCCAAAGGAAAACACAGAGATGATCTGAATTGACCTGAAAGTATCGTGATTCAATTGAAGGAAGGTTGGGCAATCCTACTTCCGTAGTGATACTGCCTCGGAAACCCAAGGAGGGGTCGCTATGAGTCAGGGCTGACTCGATGGCAAACAACAACAACAACAACAAAGTATAGAGAGGTTTCTAGTGCCTTCCACAGACCCTTCATTTCTGATAATCTTTTGGGAACAAATACATGGATTAAAAGCACAAATTAAGTTACCTTTTTAAAATCACAGCATTTCTTCTTAACATACCATTTTCTCTTATGGAAATGTAAAAGAAACATCTCCTTTGAGGGCTGTGTTATTAAAATGTAATAATACTACTGAAAGGAAGGAAATTTTTCTGGTTTAACACCAAATGGCAACGTGCTGCAGCGGAAAAACGTGAGCTCTAATGTCACAGTGTTGGGTTTGGGCTGGGTGCAGTTCTAATCCTGCCACTGCCACAAGGCTGGAGGAAGTTTTTAACCTCTAAAAGCCTCAGGTTCCACTGAATGCAAGCTGCATGAGGGTAGAGGGTATAACCTTGGCGATGAGCCCACGGGGCACTGTGGTTCAAGTATTGGGCTGTTAACTGAAGCAGTGGCCATTAGAACCCACTAGCCACTCCGTGGGTGAAAGATGAGGCAGTCTGCTTCCATAAAGATTTACAGCCTTGGAAACCCTATGGGAGGCTAATGACCCTACTCTGTCCTATAGGGTCGCTATGAGTCAGGATTGACTTGATGGCAGTGGGTTTGTTTTGGTTTATATCCCAGGAGAGTCCTGGCACATAGGAGAAGCTCAATAAGGAAAACATCAGTTGTGTGAAAACATGAGTAAGGAAGGTCAGGGATATACCTAGCAGAGTTGCTTTGAGAGTCTGAAAAGGTAGATACAGCACCTAGCACTTACCAAGTGCTCAAAAGTGACAACTTATTAATGGCAGCTCACTTTATTTTCAAACTAGAAATGGGAGTGAGGATAGCTGCATATTCACATTATGAAAAATAACATTTTTATAATGTCTTTCAGACTATAAAGACTCTTGGTTATACCAGTGAACGTTTTCAACAAACACCAAAACCACTGCCATTGAGTCAATTTTAACTCATAATGACCCTAGGCCAGAGTAGAACTGCCCCATAGGATTTCCAAGGCTGTCAATCTTTACAGAAGTCAGCTGCCTCATCTTTCTCCCATGGAGCAGCCAGTGGGTTTGAACCGCCAACCTTCTGGTTAGCAGCCAAATGCTTTAACCACTGTACCACCAGAGCTCCTGCAAACATTTTTTTTTTTTTTTAATTTATTGTGATTTGGGTGAAAGTTTAAAAAGCAAATTCATTTTCCATACAGCAGTTCATATACATTTTGTCTTGTGACATTGACTGCCATTTCCCACAATGTAACAGCTCTCCTCCCACTTCCTCCCTGCAGTTACCTCTTCCCTGTGTCCTTCCCTCCCACGCACTCTCACTACCCCCCTCAGCTATCTCTCTGTGCAAACACTGCCCTTCTGTTCTCCCATGATTGATCGCTCCAAGGAATATATCTACCTGATGCAAATGTTCACCCCATATGCCTGTCTATTGTTTGGCTGGAAGCCATAGAAGTGGGTTCAGTTCTAGACCCGAAGGATGAATAGAGGCCATAGTCTCAAGGGTCTCACCAGGATCTATCAGACCAGAAAACCTGGTCCTTTTTTTTGATTCTGAGTTTTTTTCCACGTTGTTCTCCTACTCTATCCAGGCTCTCCTATACTGTGCAAACATTTTTTAGCTATCTCCTTTTCCTCAAAACAGACTCAGCTTCAATGTTAAAGGAATGCTTTCAGGTAAGTTTCATGACTGACTGTTAATAAATGACTTTATCTTGATATTTTCACAGACTACCTTCAGATTGACAGGAGAAAATAAAAAGCAAAACAAAGCACATCCAGACAGAGGGCCTACGAAGCTGGAAAGTCCTGGATGTGAAAAATGGCCGCAATTCACCACCAAACAGTCTCATAAATTACTACAAAATGGTGAAGAGAAAAAGAGGCTCAAGTTATTGGACGCTTTTGTTTGTTTTCTTTTTATTGTTCAAAATGACATGATTCCTTTAGCCTTTGGATATTAATTCACTTGCAATACAATATGAATAGCTGCATCTCCCCCATACTGTTGGTAGCTAAAGCAGCTCTCACTAACAAGCCTAATTTTAAACAACTGTGTTAGAGACTTTGTAGTAATATGATCTACAGAAACATTACAGGATTTCCTTGCTGTCAAAGCTAATTACTAAAGCCTTCCCAAACCAGGAGTTACTTACTGAGTACTTCTTTAGTAACTAAGTGGCATATTTTAAAACAGAGAAAACAATTCAATCTACTATGGTATTAAGTTAGTCAATATTCAATAGTTCAGTTTCTTTAAAGTTTATTAAACTGTTTAAGTGAACAAATGCACTTTTAAAAAAATTTTTAAAAATCATTAATTTCATGATGTTAGCATTAAGAGTTTTCTTATCTCTCTGGACTTTTTCTTTAAATCAAGAAAAAGAAGTGGATCAGAGGATAAGTTAATAAAGCATGAGAATACCTTATCAGAGACTGTTGCAAAATTAAAATGCGGCTCATACATATGGGGTGCTAACGATGACGCAGTTTGTAACAGTGCCCTTGCCTGTTAAAAAAAAAAAAAAGAAAAGAAAAGTCAAAGACGTACGAGCATTTGTTATCATTACATTTGTGGGGTTTTTTTTGGCAAAAGAATCGTTTCCTAGGATGTTAGGATTATATTGTGATAAATAGAGGTAACATTCCTCATGAATACAGTGATTTACTGACACACAATCAACTCTTTCCCAAATCATGAATTATCAAATGCTTCAAGAGACAGAGAAAACAAAACCGGAGAGCTGAACACTTAGAGTATAGTTAGTTATTTGAGAGCCACTGCTCTTGTCAATCTGGATGTCAATATCACAATCGACTCAAAATACAATCCTCTCAGTGTTTCAAAGGCCTTGTAACTCTGGTTTTTGTTGCTGATGATTGATTCAGTCTGCTCTTAATTAATTACTTGCCTTCTAATGTAACAAAAACTCTAGTAATTTTCAAAACTCTGAATTCTGCGCTGAATGAGCAAACAAACATTTGTTATTACACTGTTGAGCGGTTTTCTGAAATTAGACGCTTTCTATTCCTTAAGGCACTCAAAAAGCACAAGCCATGGTATTCTTTGTCCTGAATAGGCTCAAAGGAGACCGGTGACAGACGAGATGCCCCTGAGTGCACTGCTGAGACCACAACACAGCGCTCCCGGTCGCTGGTGACCCTCCATTTTATAGCTAAACCTAAAGCCTCCATCGAAGACAAATTTGTATACCTTTTTTTGTTTTTGATGGAAGACAAAATGATAACAGTACATGTGGGAAGGCAGATATTAATTTGTAATACAAAAGCGAAGTTAGTACGATGAAGCATTTTACCAAAACATTTCCAATCAATTGTATACTAGGTAATCTACAGTAAGCAGAAGGTACAGAAAATTACCAATAAGGGAACAGAGAAAGTTGCAAGAACCACTTGCTTCATAGGGACACAGGCACAAGTTTCATGAGAGAGAAGGTACCATTTTAGAATGGTTCGTTTTTGTGTATAAAATACAAATGCACCTTACTGACTTTTGGGACATCTATGACATAAAGGCAACATCCAGCGACTTCTTCTTTGTTATCTGACGTTTATGCTGGGTTTAGGACACAGACTGGAGGTTAAAGGCCTAGCTTACTGTTCACTATGTCTGTGACCACATCTCAGTTTCATCTCTAAAATGAGGAATGTAATAACATCTACCTTTGATTACCATCAATATTGTATAAATGCATTTAGCATTGAAAATTTTTTGTTATGCATAATAATACTACAATTTCTTAGGCACCTCCCATGTGCTTAAAAAGCACTGCTTTTATTGTGCCAGCAGTCCTGATAAAAACACCTTCACGCTGGAACTGTTATCACTCTATTTTACACACTGCCCTTTCATTCCACAAATATTTACTGAGTACCATCCATGTACTGGGCACTGTTTTTGGTGCTGAGAACATAGCAACTATAACATACATGATGTTCCTGCTTTCGTGCAGTTGACATTCAAAATTATACAAATGAAAATAAAAAGATCTGATAAAATGACAAGAACTTGGAAGACAAAAACCTTGGAGATATAATAGTGTCTGTGGGCTCCTTTAGACTGACATCAGAGGTGGCACATAAACTGAAGGAGGTGGCGCGTAACTGAAACCTGAGTGACGAAAAGAAACTCTCACAAGATCCGACGGAGGAACACTCCAAAGGCCCTAAAGGAAGGATGAGGCGTATTTGTGCAACAGCAAGGCAGTGTCTGGAAGTGGGTGGGAAAGTCTGAGTGGGAGCCAGAGGCCAGAGGATGGGGACCTTGCGTGCTGTCTGAAGTCCAGATTGTATTCCAAGTGTAAAAGACTTTAAGCTAAGTAGTAATAAGAAAATCTCTCTCAGAATAATCCCTCTGGCTGCTCTGTGGAGGATGCACTAGAGGGGACCGAAGTGGAAACAAGGACTAGACCGGAGGCTCCTGCAGTAGCAGTCCAGGCAAGAGATGATGGGCGTCCAGAGAAGGGTGGTGGGGAGAGATTAAAGTGGCCAGGGTCAGGGCATGACTGACAGGCCTAGTGGATGATGGAAGGAGCCTGGTGCCACAGTGGTCAAAGAGCTCAGCCACTCATGGAAAGGTCACCAATTCAAACCCATCAGCCGCTCCACAGGAGTAAAATGCCACGGTCTGCTCCTGAGGAGATTACAGCCTTGGCAACCCTATGGAGCAGTTCTACTCTGTCCTGTAGGGTCGCTATGAGTTGGGGTCAACTTGACAGCAAGGAGTTTAATGGGTAAAGGATGACGGGGGAGCAGGCAGGAGGGAAAAGGCAGTAGCAAAAGAGAAGCTTTGTAGGGTTTTGCTTGAGCAACTAGATGGTGGACGGGAGACAGTGAATGGCGGGACAGTTTATTAAAATAGAGAAAACTGGGGAAGGGCAGATTTGTCGTAACAAAGTGTTCTTTCTTGGACTTGGAAAAGTTAACTTGTCCAAGGTCACAGAGCAGGAAGTGAGAGGGCTGAGATTCAAATGCAGGCCTGTCAAGCTCTGGAGCTCATTTTCAAATTACAGCACGTAATGATAGTCACAAATGACAGCTTTTCTTCGAAGAAAGCAGAGGCCCTGTCCTCCAGCAGCTCACCAACCTGCTCCACGTGGCCCTTGCGCATCTCCAGCACAGCCAGGTTGTTATAGGCCTCGGCGTGACTATTGTTGTTGACCAGAGCCAGCCTGAAGCACTGATGTGCCAGATTCACATCTCCTACTCCCTGCAACAGAAAAGCACGTGTTCACACACGTGGGTCATGCTCTCCCTCCTCCTGGCTACCCCCTCCCTTCTCTCCTCATGAATACCTTCTCCCCTACCAAAGAAACCTCTAAATTGCTACATACGACTATAACCAAAGAGCTCTGGTGGTGCAATAGTTAAAGCATTTGGCTGCTAACCTAAAGGTCAGTGGTTCAAACCCACCAGCTGCTTCATGGCAGAAAGATGAGGCAGTTTCTTCCATAAAGATTTACAGCCTTGGAAACCCTATGGGGGCAGTTCTACTCTGTCCTTTAGAGTCGTTATGAGTCAGAATCAACTAGATGACAGTGGGTTTGGGATTGGGACTAAAACCAAATCTGAATTTACAACACTTGAAAATTTTTCTAAACTAACTTAAGGCTTCTTTTTCTATAAAAGAAATTACATTAGAGAAACAACATACCACAGCTATGTGTCCCAAGTTGTACCAGACATCAGCGGTCTCTTCTTCGTTTTCGGCCAGAGAAAGGGCACGTTCAAATGAGGTCAGAGTCATATCATACTGCTGGGCATAGAAGCAGCAGAGCCCCAGGTTGTTAAAAAGCTGGCAGTTATAAACACCCATCTGCAGGAGGCGCCTTTGTGAGAGAGCACACACAAATGGTGTCGTCAGACCAACTTAAAATTTTAAGACACACACACACAGACACATATTTTTTTTTTACAAAGTTAGAAATGAATTCATTTTATAATTTTTAACATTTCTAAAAAACACAAATAGAAAGTGTTACAGTAAATAATAAAACATTTTAAAAGAAATAATGGCACTAGTTATGGGAAATGTGTCCAAAGGCAAGGTCAGAAACAAAAGCTTTGTGAGAGAACCAAAGTAAGAAACAGTCCCACAAAGTCAAACCCACATTTTAGCTTTATAAAGCTTTGGTGCACACAGGAAAATTCCTAACACCTTCTATTCTAATTTTAGGACTGTGTTTTGCCTTTACCTCTAAGTTTTCATCTGAATTGGATCATGTTTTTGTTTGCCTGTATGTCTGTATGTTGTAGTTTAACTGCGGTTCAAACCCACCAGCCACTCCTCGGAAGGAAGGTTGGGCAATCCTACTTCCGTAGTGATACTGCCTCGGAAACCCAAGGAGGGGTCGCTATGAGTCGGAGCCGACTCAATGGCAAACAACAACAACAACAACATACTGATTTAAAACGAGCGTCCCTCAAGGAAGATGAAACCATCCCTCGGATCCTTCCATTATCCATTTAGCTTCCACACTGTAGCTCAACACCCCATTCTGCATCTGCACCATTAATCCCAAAGGACAAAGCACACGGAGTTCACATAAGCAAATGAAAACGCACGCCAGCTGCCCTGAGGAAACAATGACCCACTGTGGGGGTGGAGGGGTCGAGTCAGCTACATGTACATGTACAAATTCAAATTACTGTATGTTTCCAACACGTATTTGAGAAAAACTCATCAGCTTCCAGTTCTCTTTGTATATACTACCCAAGGGCTAGAGACAAAATCTTAATTTAAAAATTAATTTAGAAGCCAAATGCAGGATAAAAAAAAAATGTATGTGCTCAAGGAGGAACCAGTGAACATAATTTACCTAGATTCTGAAAAGAATATCTAGACAAGAGTTGACAGTGCTTCCTAAAACAGGTAATCCTGTTTTAAGGCTAAGAACACAGGCCAACTGTTTTTTGCCAATCTCTTCACTGTTCAAGTTCTGTATCCTTATATTATGCTTAATGGTTTTCATGGAGTCAGTAACGATGAGAAGTTTGTCAAGTAATGATTAAGCTGTTACTGGCTGATGAACAATGGCTAATTCATACACTATGTGGTTAAAAAGTCAGTGGATTAAAAAGGCAGTGTGTTTCCACAGGATGCCAAACACCTGTGTGTTTCCAAATGTCACTTTAATTCTCACAGAACATCTCAGAGAACTTCTAGTTTCATAGAGATATGGCCTATACATTATTCATTGCATCTTATTATTGTTACACCAATATTACACAGAAAAGTAGTTCTACAAATTCAAGTGAAAGCACACCTGTAAAACCGCAAAGCTATTTCTGGTTGATCAGAATAGAAGTGGTTGCTTCCAATACATGCAATGGCTTCCACGTGAGTATTGTCTTGTTTCAAAACTTCTTTGTAGTATTCAGCTGCTGATGAAATATTGTTCATTTCCTGTTCACCAACAAGACAGAAGAGCAACACTTTACTACATAGATTGGCCAAGCAATCACTGTTTTCTGATAGAAGTTCACTCAATTCAACACATGTTTGTTAAGAGCCTGCCATGGTCAGACTCTGTTGTAGGCCCTGGGGACACAATATGAACAGTAAGATAAAAGTCACTGTCCTCATGAGGTGCCATCTGATAAGGGAGACAAGTAAATGAATGAATACGTAATATTAGCAAGGCTATGTGCTATGAAGGAAAAGGAGACAGAAGATGACAGAGGTGCTGCTTGCATGGGGTCTCTGAAGGAATCACTTTGGAGGAGGTGCCATTTAAACCTGAAGGAAAGAAGGGATCAAGACCTGAGGCTATCTGGGGGAAGAACATTCATTTATTACATGTATGGTGATAGGCAAAGGGAAAAGCAAAGGTACAGCCCTGAGATGGAAACACACTTGACATGTGTCAAGAACCACAAAGGTGAGTGCGACTGGGAAGAGGGAGAGTTGTACAAAGAGAGAGCTGAGAGGCAGCCAGGTTTTGTGAGCCGTGGTAAGGAATTCAGATATCTTTTCTGCACTGAAGTAAAGTCATCATAGGGTTAAGAGCAAAGCATTAACACACTCATATTTACATATTTGAAGTGCTATACGCAGAATTTTCCAAAGTGGAGAGAAATGATAGCAGAGAGACTAGGAGTCCAGGAAAGAGATGCCAGCAACCCAGACTAGGGTCAGAAACACATTTAAAATTAAAAACTAAAGAACTCTCTACAGTTATTAAATACTCTTTCCAAAATAATAAACATCATATAAATAAATGTTTACACTATTAATGAATGCTGAGTCTCTGGAACCCACCTTCCAGGCAGGGTTCAAAGTCCACATCCTTCATGAAGACCCCTCAGCACCCTCACTGTCTCTCAACATACATGATATGCATTGTGTGAGGACTCACTTGTTTTCATCATGAGGATCTTTTTTTTTAAGTTTTAATCATAAAGTATTTTGTCATACCCAAGAGAGTCCATCACTTGCAAGAAGTGCCAAGTAATGCTTTCTTATCATGTATAATTTTTGTTTTATACTTATCGACAGACTAATTTACTTAGACTTACTCTGATCTAGATTTTTATCACAGATCACCCTTTTGTATACTTTTAAAGTAAAATATAAGCAAGATAAATTGCAGATGCTGTTGTTATGTGCCGTCGAGTCGGACCCGACTCATAGTGACCCCTCCTTGGGTTTC